GAGTCCATAAGGGTGTCATACAATTCAAATTCTCTGTCACTTTACTAGCTTTCTGATGTGGGCATGTTTATCTCTCTGACTCCAGTATGTTACTCATCTACAGATGCTTTCTTCATAGGGTTGTGGTAGCATTTAAATGAGACCATGGGTGTAAGTAGCTGGCACACAGTAGGTGTTCAGTAGATGATAGCTGTTGCTGTATTATTATTGCCATCGTCATCATTATCTATTATTTTTAGTGACTAATGTCTTGGTGTCAGTGTGAAGACAAGTAGCTAATGTAGTATATGTCACATGAACTGAGAAGAAACATTTTGGTTAGCTTTTTCAATTTCAGTTGACTATTTTATATGTTTACTTTGACTTTTATTTTTGATTATTATATTCTTGTTAGCTAAGTGTTTAAAGCCAGTGTCTAATTTTAAAATAGTTTTGGGGTGCCTGGCTGGCTCAGTGGGTGGAACATATGACTGTTGATCTCAGGATTGTGAGTTTGAGCCCCAAATGTTGGGTGTTGGGTGTAGAGATTACTTAAAAATAAAATCGTAAAAATAAAATGAAATCGTTTTAGTTTCCTATTACCAAATGGGAAAATAAATTCTTAAACTTGAAGGATAAAAATTATTTTCTTCTATAAAGTCATAAAAATGCATGTTTTAGAGGAGATTCTGGTTACTTAATTTTCTAAAATACGCTGTTATATTTATTGTATTATATTGATATAGCAACTGTATATTGCCACTGAAGACCACAGATGTTTTAAGTCAAATTCTACATAGGTTTTATGACTTTGTTAGTAGCTAAACTCTGGAGGAAAATATGTCAGTCACTGTTGTCTTGGAGGGCTATGAAGTATGTATTTACTAGACTTTTGCAAGCCTTAGTATTGATGTGTAAACTTGATGACTTTTTGGCATTTTGTGAACTCATCCTCATGTTAAAACTTCAAAATACAGTTGCTTAGGGATTAGATTAAACTGCAGTAAAGGTAACTTATTTTTTAAAAAGATTTATTTATTAGAGAGAGTGTGCGTGCGTGTGAGCGAGTGTGCGTGCATGCATGCGCTCAGGGGGAGGGGCCAAGGGAGAGGGAGGGAGAGTCCCAAACAGACTGCACAAAGTGCAGAGCCTGATGCAGGACTCGATCCCATGACCCTGAGATCATGACCTGAGCCTAAATAAGAGTCAGACGGTCAACTGACTGTGCCACCTAGGTGCCCCAGTAAGTAAGTTTTAATGGTCCATTACAGTAGACGCTTTAGTGGAAAATTGGTTTGAATATTATTAATCAGCATAAACAGTGTATATGACAGTTTCCTTTTTAAGACCTTGAGTTGTGTATCATTTGTATTCTACTTAAATCTGCTTTGTTACTATCTGTAGCAGTTGTTTTGCCCTAGAATGGCTAGATAGCATTTGGGGCTGTGTGGTTGTCTACCACATGATTCTTGATGCAAGGATAAGAAATACAAGTTACAGCAGGAAGTATTTGCAGTCAGTACATAATTTCTAGGTTTTCCTGGGAACTCCTGAAAATGGGAAAAGTGGAAAGGCCATGGGCCTTGGAGTCAGACTATTTCTGGCACTGTGAAGCCTTGGGAAAGTTATTGACTTCTTCAAGCTTCACCCTCTTCAATGTAGACAGTAGAGACCACCTCTCAGAGTCATTGTGAAGTTAATGAGCTGACAGGGCACACATGGACCGTGGTACCACATCAAATAAGAAGAAACCACTCAGCAGTGAAGTCTGAGGTTTAGTTTCATCAAGCAAAGCAAATGAAACAGCAATGGTTGGTATTCTATGAACGAAAGGGACTACGTTTATAATGGAAGTGTAGGAGGTGCATTTGGAAATGGAGTCTCCCCTGCCCAGTCCTCTCACTGCTTTATGTGCACATACTTCCTCTTTTTCTTTCCTCTGAGGTTCTGAAACAAAAACAAAACATAGTTGAGCTCTGAAACTGTTGGAGCTTTTGAATTCTTTCTAAAGAGGAAATTGACTTTACCTAACCAATGCGCTTCCTGTGTATGCCGTATCCGTTAAAGAGTGAGACGGGACTTCATTGGTATACTTCTCAACTGCAGAATTGCCTCTTGGTGGTGGGGGTGTGAACTGTATTACGGTGCTTCAACATGTCTTCATTTATTTTGTTATCTGTAAGGTCTATCGTGATTCACCTGGGGATCTTGTTTAAAATGTAGATTCTGATTCAGTAGTTCTGGGTGCGGCCTAACAGTCTGCATTTCTAACAATATCCCAGGTGATGTATCAAAATCATAAAGCATGTAGGGGCACCTGGGTGGCTCAGTCATTAAGTGTCTGCCTTCAGCTCAGGTGATGGTCCCAGGGTCCTGGGATGGAGCCCCGCATCAGGCTCCCTGCTCTGCGGGAAGCCTACTTCTCCCTCTCCCACTCCCTCTGCTTGTGTTCCCTCTCTCTCTGTGTCTCTCTCTGTCAAATAAATAAATAAAATCTTTAAAAAAAAATCATAAGGCATGCTCTCCCTGGTTCTTTAAAAAGGTCTTAAACATGTACATGGTTAACTTCATTTTTATTCAACATTTATTTGCCAGGTGCTATGTATGTTAGGGCCTGAGTCTTAAGGACCCCACAGGTAAGTAATGAACCTGAAAGTTTTGAGTATGGCCCCCTCCCTTTTCTTTTTTAAATTTTGGTTTGGATTTATTTCATAGACGCTCCATAGTACAGAGACTAGTTAACAATTAAACTTATATTAGGGTCTCTCTCTTTCTTTCTTTCTTTTTTTTAAAGATTTTATTTATTTATTTGACAGAGAGAGACACAGTGAGAGAAGGAATACAAGCAGGGGGAGTGGGAGAGGGAGAAGCAGGCTTCCTGTGGAGCACTGAGCCCAATGCGGGGCTCGATCCTCATACCCCAGGATCAGGACCTGAGCCAAAGGCAGATGCCCAACGACTGAGCCACCCAGACGCCCCGGGTCTCTCTGTTTCTTTATGATTTAAGGAATTCCTCCATTTACTGCACACACACTATTGTAAGTTACATCACTGTCAAAAGGAGAAAAAGTTATTTCCATGATCCATTTCAGCCAATCAAACTGTTCCTTTTTTTTTCCCCTGTATTTTTTTGTACTCCTTGAGCATTGACATCTTTTGTTTTTACATGGTTGTGACACAATCTCTGGATTCTGCTTTTTAAATTTAGTATTAGAGAATAGATGGAAAACTCTCTAAATTTCTCTATTAACTGTGGAAATCCTGTGCTTTGTGGATTTTCTTGGACTTCAAACACTCTTGGAAAGATAAAGTTAGCAAAAGGGTTAGAGTAGTAAATGTAATAATGTCATTATGAAACTAATATGATAAATATCTGCAAAGTAAAGTATGTGTTTGCTTTGATTCAGCTATTTGGCTTTTAGAATTTTCCTGTTAAGTGAGAGTGAATTGTGTTGTCTGTATCTTTAAAAATAAAAAAAAAAGTGTTGTATCTGTGTAGACAGCTGGTTTGTTTCCAAAATAAGTGTGAGCTGTAAAGATTTCCCTGTCCTGTCTCCCAGAACAGCAGCTCTTAATCTGAGCTCTGTGGACCTGATGGCAGCGTTTCTCAAAGTGTGGGCTGCAGAATCACAGGTGTGCTTGTGAAACTCGAGAACTCCATCCATACACTCCAGCCCTCCTTGAAGGTTCTGGATCAGTATGTCTAGGATGGAGCCCTGCAATCTAAATTATATCAGGCAGTCTACATGATTCTTCTGCAAACCAAGTTTCAGAATTACTGCTGCAGGCAAGCCATGGTTGAGATTTGAGGGAATTTGTAAGTTCTGAAATTGAATTAATTTCTTTAGGGTATGGAGTATTCATTTTATTGGGAAGAGAGGGTCTGTAAACCTTTCATTGAGATTTGCAAAGAGGAACATGACTCAAAAAAGATTAAAGTATTGTCCCAGAGATGTGTTTTCATGAACACTTCTCTGCCTTCTATGAGCCTCTTTGAATTTTAAATAAATTCTTAGCTTTCTCCTAGTATAATGAGGGCATCTTATCCATTAGGTGATTTTTTTTTTTTTAGTATCATGGCTTTCTTTTATTTATTATTTATTTATTTATTTATTTTAGAGGGAAGCGTGGAGGAGTGGAGGGAGGAGGGGCAGGGGGAGAGGGAGAAGGAGAGACTCCACACTTAGCATGAGTATGACATGGGGATCAATCTCACAACCCTGAGATCATGACCCGATCTGAAACCAAGAGTCAGGCACTCAACTGACTGAGCCACCCAGGTGCCCCTATACTATGGCTTTCTTTTTTTTTTTTTTTTAAGATTTTATTTATTTATTTGACAGAGAGACACACAGCGAGAGAGGGAACACAAGCAGGGGGAGTGGGAGAGAGAGAAGCAGGCTCCCCGCTGAGGAGGGAGCCCGATGCGGGACTCGATCCCACGACCCTGGGATCATGACCTGAGCCGAAGGCAGACGCTTAAAAACTGAGCCTCCCAGGCGCTCCTATACTATGGCTTTCTGATTTACCATTTATTTACTACTTTTCAGTAAAATGAATTTTAATCCCCTCCTAATTTAAATTTTTTTGTACTGAAACATACTGTTGCCAAGAATAACTTTGTGCGGATAATGATACTTTCTAATATTTTTTCATTGGGAACTACAATGTGCCAGTTATTTTACCAAGTATAATACAGATTATTTAATCCTATTAACAGCAATTCCATGAAGTAAGCATTATATTCATTTGACAAATAAGGAAATTGAGGTGTGGAGTGCTTAATTAACATGACCAAATTGACGTAGTTTGTGAATGGTGGAACCACGGTTTGAGCCCATTCTGTCTTCCCTGAAGGCCAGTACTATGCATTTCTGCTGGTTTGTGCAAATGAATCACATTCGATTTGTCAACAAAATGGAAGATGACCACTGTGTAGTGCCTTGGGATTAGGGGTCATGCCTGTGGATTAGCCTTTTCTGGAGATTCTGATTCTGTGTTTTTATGTTCTTCCTTTTCAGATCAAAGAGAGTGCATCACAGACAAGAGATGTCCTCAAACAGCATTTTAATGATTTAAAGGGAACCCTTGGGAAGCTCCTGGATGAGCGATTGGTGACCCTTTTGCAAGAGGTGGACACGATTGAACAGGAAACTATTAAACCTCTAGATGACTGCCAGAAGCTCATAGAGCATGGAGTTAATACTGCAGAGGACTTAGTCCAAGAAGGTGGGAGTCCAGGGGGCCTGTGAAGTGGGGCACATTCAGATTGGCCCTTTGCTGATTTCTCAGGGTGCCAGCAGGCTTCTTGCCATCTGTGGGGCACTTAGAATGTTCCTACTTCAGGATAGTTTGTAATATAGGATGACAGATACACAGTGAGGTATCCCAGGGTGAGTGCAGTTGAAGTGTTAATTATAATCATTTACAAAACGAGGCGTAAATGGTTTTTCTCAAATGGTTTTATGATAGTATCTTATTTACTGTTAACACTGTGACTTTAAAGTCCTTTTGAGTCTGTTCAGATATTTTTCAGAGTGTTCATAGAATTTAATTCCATTGTTAGTTTTAGAAGGTTAAAAATTATGATTGGTGTTTACTCCTGAAATCATAGTGATTATATACCTATGTGCAGCCAATTACTGTGCTTAAAGCATGCCCAGATCTTGCCTTGCTATCTTCCTGTCTTCACATCCACCTTCCTCCTTTCACATAGATCTTTGTCAAGTACATTAAATCAAAAGGTAACGGTTCTGCCCTTTGGGGTTCACAGCGCAGAGAGACGTATGTGCCGAGAGAGATCTAAGACTTACAAAGAAGGGAAAGCGCTTAGCTGTGGGAGAGTGTAGGATAGCTTTCTGTGGGAGGAGTTCCACAGAGGCTCGAAAGAATTCATTAAGTGGACAACGGAAGAAAAGAGGTAACAGCACGATTGGAAGCAGAAGTAACATCATGAGTGAAGTGAATGGCATATCAGGGCTCTATTGAAGTATTTTAGGCAGTGGAGTTACACAATCGGATTTGCATTTAAAAAAAAAATGATGCTGGGGCGCCTGGGTGGCTCAGTCATTAAGCATCTGCCTTCGGCTCAGGTCATGATCCCAGGATCCTGGGATCAAGCCCTATATCGGGCTCCCTGCTCAGTGGGAAGCCTGCTTCTCCCTCTCCCACTCCCCCTGCTTGTGTTCCTTCTCTCGCTGTGTCTCTCTGTCAAATAAATAAATAAAATCTTTTAAAAAAATAAAAATTAAAAAAATGATGCTGCCCACAGTTTGGAGACTGTAGTAGAGGTCCTAATACTGGAGGTCAGAGAGGCCAATTGGGAAGATATAGCACTAATCCAGACAGGAAATGATGAAGGCAGTGAGCTTCATCGTGGTGGAGATGAAGTGGAGCTGATTTTAAGACTTTTCAGAGAGGGGCGCCTGGGTGGCTCAGTCGTTAAGCGTCTGCCTTTGGCTCAGGTCATGATCTCAGGGTCCTGGGATCGAGCCCCGCATTGGGCTCCCTGCTCTGCGGGAAGCCTGCTTCTCCCACTCCCACTCCCCTTGCTTGTGTTCCCTCTCTCGCTGTGTCTCTCTCTGTCAAATAAATAAATAAATAAATCTTTAAAAAAAAAAAAAAGACTTTTCAGAGAGAAAATTATTGACAATTTTACCTCTATCAGTGAGTGTTGATTATTGGTGATTGCCTGGAGATAGGTTGGAGAATAAAGGGAAGGATTTAGGATGACCAAAACCAGCCAGATTTTGGATGACCAGTTTGAATTGTGCTGTTTACTGACATAGGAAATAAACGAGAAGGGTGGGCTTCAGTGGGTAATAAGGCATTCAGTTTGGGTCTTTTGAGTTTGAGGTGCTGCAGATGCCCAGAAGGTAGTTGGGCATGTGGCATGTGGCTTAGGAGAGAGATCAGTATGGCAAGATGGCAATTGATGGTGTGTACATCAAGTCTGGATCCATGGGAGTAAGTAAATCTTCCAAAGCTGGTGTATGATATGAGAAGAGAGGGTGGCAGAGGCCGCCAGCATTGAAAGGACGACTGAGGAAAAAGGAGCCAGAGACTGAATACCGCCCATCCCACACTGCGTGCCGATGGTGGCATGGGGTGAAGAGGGTGCATGGCTCACAAGGCTGTCACTCTGACTGGAAATTCATCCCCTTTTAGTCCCATTTAGAATGTGGCACTGCTGTTATCTTTACATGCTAATGACATTTTGTCTCATCTTCAGTGAGAACTGCTTATCTGCCACTAACCGTAACAGTGCCTTCGAGAGAATTCTTTTTAGTGGGGCTACAGAGTGTCTTTCCCGGGAGACTTTGCATTTGGAAACAAACCCAGAAGCAGTTCACAGGGCAGAAGTGTACACCCATCACCCTGAGGACTGAGAAATGTTTTTATTTTAGAAAATAAATCCTTTGAGGCACAAACTTGTTTGTTACAGCATCTGATGCTTAAATGTTTTTATACTTCAGAAATATTCTGAATTTCAGTCTCTTTCCTCCCTCCCAAGGGATAAAAACTTATTTATGGAATTTTGAGGACTTTGAGGCAGTGTTCAATATGCCCTGTTTTCCTTTTGGTGATGGAGAATGTCATGTCATGTGGTCCCAAAAAACTTAAGTCACTCCAGGGCACATTCAGATGGAAAAGAGTTCTGGTAGTATTTCTTTGGGGCTGTGGAAGGACATAGAAGTTGGTCATTTTTTTTAATGTCTTTAGATAGCTTTTCCTTTTTATTTTTCTGTGGAATAATTTCTAATATGTGATATTCTTTTAGGAAAACAGCTGTATCATTTGACTTTGTAAGACCCCTTGCCCATGGGGCGCCTGGGTGGCTCAGTCAGTTAAATGTCTACCTTAGGCTCAGGTCATGATCCCCGGGTCCTGGGATCAAGCCCTGCATCGGGCTCCCTGCTCAGCGGGGAGTCTGCCTCTCCCTCTCCCCCTCCCCCCTATTTTCTGTCTCTCTCAAAGAAATTTAAAAAAAAAAAAAAGACCCCGTGCCCTATTTTTCTATCAGGGTAACTCCTGTTGGAGTTCTGTAAATGAAGATTCTGTAGGAGCGATGGAAAAAAGGACCTGGACCTTCTCCTTTGTATAAAATTGGTCGACAAACCAGATTTCTTTGTGTAGAGCAGAATCTTCCATCTCTGGTAAAATGTTACCATTGTGTACCCCTTTTCTTTGTGAGCTTCACCTTAGAGTCACTTCTAAAATAGTTTCTACTTTTACTTTTTGGGAACTTGACTGTGGAATCACTTAAAAATTATTTGTGAGAAAACCAGAGACCCACCTAGACATGGGCTATAGTGATTACTTTATAATGTGACCGTTTTTTTGCTGTATTTATTCTCTCATTCTTGATTGTAGGGGAGATTGCCATTCTTGGTGGCGTAGGAGAACAGAATGAAAAACTGTGGAACTTTACCAAAAAGGCCTCACACATTCAGTTGGACAGGTAAAGGAGTTGGTGCCGTTCAGGCTTAGTTTTATGCATTTAAACTGCCTGCTTTTTTTTCCCCCCTCATTAAAGATTCCGAGTAAATGAGATAGAGAATATATATATCAAGGTTCATTGCCCAATACCAGTATTAGTGGTATGAAACAGTAGCGATTGTGAGTTTTGGCATAGTATTACTGTAGATTTTCTTCAATTCTAGTGTGTAAGAGAATTACTAAATTTTAGAAATTCTGAGCATACTGAAACTGATTTTTTGGTATAAACTTGACAGTGGTGATCCTACCAATTTTCTCTTTTCTTGCTTATATTTATTTGGGAAGAGAATCTGTCTTCCAAAGCCCCTACTGCCATTAGCATTATTTCCTGAGGGCTTTAGCATCTTTATGTCGTATGTGACTGATCTAAACTATGATTCATATTTTTAATCCTCAGTTAAGAGCCTCATAAACACATAAGCTTTGTTTCCTCAGCTTACCAGAAGTGCCTTTACTGGTTGATGTGCCTTGTTTGTCTGCTCAGTTGGATGATTCAGTTCTGAACATAGTGAAAGACCACATTTTCAAGCATGGAACAGTAGCATCTCGCCCACCAGTACAGATCGAAGAGCTAATAGAGAAACCGGGAGGCATCATTGTTCGATGGTGTAAGGTGTGTAATTAAGACTTGTAGATGTGACTTCAACGTTATGGATTTGAGGTCTGAGGGTCTTTTAGGTTTTTTTATTAACTACCTTTGAACGTTTTCTTCTCTTCACAAACAAAAGTCCCTTTTGCTTTACAATTAAAGTCACAGGGAACTTGAAAGCAGGTAGCTCTTCAGTTTGAGGTAAATAGTTGTGAAGGTACCTTTAAGAATCTCTGTATCACAGCAGTGTTTTCCATCACAGATTTCCCAAACTTAACCCTTAGTAAGTTGAAGATCTCTCCCATTTCTGTTGATTACAAAAACCAAAAGATGATAACGAATATTGGGTCCCTGATATTTTCTGTTCCACACTGAACTAATGCTTCTGAAGTAAAATCCTAGGGACGCTTGGATGGCTCAGTCAGTTGAGCATCTGTCTTCGGCTCAGGTCATGATCCCAGAGTCCTGGGATGGAGCCCTGCATGGGGCTCCCTGCTCAGTGGGGAGCCTGCTTCTCCCTCTCCCTCTGCTCCTCCACCTGTTTGTGCTCTCTCTCTCTCACTCTCTCACTTTCTCAAATAAATAAATAAAATCTTTAAATTTTTTTTTTAAGGTTTTATTTATTTATTTGAGAGAGAGAGAATGAGAGACAGATAGCAAGAGAGGGAAGAGGGTCAGAGGGAGAAGCAAACCCCGCGCCGAGCAGGGAGCCCAACATGGGACTCGATCCCAGGACTCCAGGATCATCCTGAGCCAAAGGCAGTCACTCAACCAACTGAGCCACCCAGGCGCCCTAAATAAAATCTTTAAAAAAAAAAATCCTAAAATGTGGTTTCGTCACATTCTCAGCATTGCTGGGAATTTTCTGTATTAAATCATGTTATGTATATGAGTTACCATATTGTAGATAGAAACCATGTCCAAATGAATCATAAGTGTCTTGGCTGTTGACAAATACATCATTCAGAATGGGTGCTCAGCTTCTGGAAATGATTGATTTTTCTTAAATGGATTTTTTTTTAAAGATTGTATTTATTTATTTGAGAGAGATCATGAGCAGGGGGAGGGGCAGAGGGAGAAGGACAAGCACTCCCCACTGAGCAGCGAGCCCAACACAGGACTCGATCCCAGGACCCTGAGATCATGACCTGAGCCTAAGGCGGACATTTAACCAACTGAGCCACCCAAGTGCCCCTAAATGGATTTCTTCTTAAAGATTTATTTATTTCCTTGAGAGAGAGAAAAGGGGAGAGGGGCAGAAGGAGAGGGAGAGAGAAACTCAAGCAGACCCCCTGCCAAGCATGGAGCCCAACATGGGGCTGCATCTCACCACCTTGAGATCAGACCTGAGCCGAAACCGAGAGTCGGAAGCTTAACCAACTGAGCCATCCAGGCACCCCTTAAATGGATTTTTTTGCTGAGGCCTTGTTATAGAAGAAAAAAATAGAGATTTTTTTTTGTTGGTTTAAAACAAACACTCTTATTTCATTTTTATTCTTTTCCCTGTCAATGGATCTAGAGTTTCCTTTTTTTTTTGCTATAAACATTAGTATTCATGTTCCCTTGTGTACATGTATAAGAATTTTTCCTCAAGTATATATCCAGTAAAATTATGAGGTCCTAGAGTACTGGATCTATACTCTACTAGAAATACCAAATTTCGGGGGTGCCTGGGTGGCTCAGTCATTAAGCATCTGCCTTTGGCTCAGGTCATGATCCCAGAGTCCTGGGATCGAGCCCCGCATCGGGTTCCCTACTCAGCGGAAAGCCTGCTTCTCCCTCTCCCACTCTCCCTGCTTGTGTTCCCTCTCTTGCTGTGTCTCTCTCTGTCAAATAAATAAATAAAATCTTAAAAAAAAAAAAATTCTCCACTCTAAAAAAAAAAAGGAAAGAAATACCAAATTATTTTCAATGTTTCCTTCTACCAGCAGTGTTCCCGGCACTCTGCATCCTGACCAAAACTTGGTATTGTCACACTTTACATTTTTGCCAGTATGGTATCTCATTCTGGTTTCAGATTGCATTGTCCATATTACAAATTTGGTTAAATACTTTTATGTATTTTTGGTTACGTATATTTCTAATTCCATGTTTATTTGTGCCTTTTGTACATTCTCTTATTGGGTGGTTCCTCCCCTATTAAGTTTTAAAGGAGTCCTATATATATTCTGGGTATTAATTATCTTGGTTTTGTGAATGATGTAGTTGTGGGATTCTTTTTTTTGTTTTCTAAAGATTTTATTTATTTATTTGACAGAGAGACAGTGAGAGAGGGAACACAAGCAGGGGAGCGGGAGAGGGAGAAGTGCTGAGAAGTGCTGAGCAGGGAGCCCGATGTGGGGCTTGATCCCAGGACCCTGGGATCATGACCTGAGCTGAAGGCAGACGCTTAACAACTGAGCCACCCAGGCACCCCAGTTGTGGGATTCTTATCTTTGAGTTTCCAATATTTTATCTTTGGCATTATGGTATAGAAAACATGCCATTTCGGAGTGCTAGGGTGGCTCAGTCGGTTAAGTGGGCAGCTCTTGATTTTGGCTTAGGTTGTGATCTCAGGGTCCTGGGATCGAGCCCTGCAACAGGCTCCACACTCAGTGGGGACTCTTTTTGGGGATTTTCTCTCTGTCCTTCGCCCTCCGCCCCTCCCTGCTTGTGCTCGCTCCTCTCTTTTAGAATGAATAAATAAATCTTTAAAAAGAAAGAAAAAGAGAACATGCCATTTCTTCAAAGGAAGCCGAGTTCTGCAAATCAGACTGGGAGGTATATAACACATGGTTCAATAAAGAAAAGGGCAGTAATGTTGACATATTTCCTATGACCTTCCTGAGAGTAGCCCAAATTCAGCACGTGGGCTTCTGTGCTCGGCCCCAGAATTCTTAAACCATGATGCTGAGAGAAACTGTTCCCTGATTTTTTTTTTTTTTAAGATTTTATTTATTTATTTGAGACAGAGAGAATGAGAGAGAGAGAGAGAGCACATGAGAAGGGGGAGGGTCAGAGGGAGAAGCGTGCTCCCTGCTGAGCAGAGAGCCCGATGCGGGACTCGATCCAGGGACTCCAGGATCATGACCTGAGCCGAAAGCAGTCGCTTAACCAACTGAGCCACCCAGGCGCCCCTGATTTTTTTTTTTAAAGATTTTATTTTTTGATAGAGCAAGAGAGGGAACACAAGCAGGGGAGTTGTTCCCTGATTTTTATCTAACACAAAGCCTTTCTCCTTAGGTGGATGATGACTTTACAGCCCAGGATTACAGGCTCCAGTTCCGCAAATGCACTTCAAATCATTTTGAGGACGTATACGTAGGCTCTGAAACTGAGTTCATAGTGTTGCACATAGACCCCAACGTTGATTATCAGTTCAGAGTGTGTGCCCGAGGAGATGGCCGACAGGAGTGGAGTCCTTGGAGCGTCCCCCAAATGGGTCACTCCACGTTGGTGCCTCATGGTATGTTGCTTTCTCACTCCGAAGCCTAACGATGTCTCGGGACGCTGGTGCCTGCGCTCAAGTTCGCACACTGACAGCCGGGTTTTCTCTCGGTAAAACCTGCGTCGGTGAGAACAACATGAAACATCTTCTGTTCAAATTACTTCACGTGAATCTTGAGACATTTTCATCGGTTCTTATCTCGAGTCCAAAAATAGTGTCAGGCAGGATTGTTAGCATCCCCTAAATCCAAAGATTTTAAGTGTTGCAACAGGATACTGATTAAAAAAAAAAAAAAAATGGGTACTGATTTTTCCAAACCTTCAATTACTTTCTGGATGGAGGTCTTATGATTTGAATTTGGTCTGTCCTGTATTACTATTTTAAAATATTCAGACTCATTTGTTAATTAGCTGTTAATCAGGTTGGAGTAAGCTCAAACAATTATGCTTTACCCTGATTTCATTAGACAGGAGATAATACTCATTGATCTTCCATCTATTCCTGCCAGAATTATGCAGGAATAGACTAACACATTTTTTGTGATTTTTAGGATTAACCAGGATACCCTGTCACTGAATCTCTTCTTTTATGGGACTTGTCCGTGACCCCTAAGAGTAGCCTCTTCTGCTTCCAAGTTTTATTTAATGTATCTGTGTTGAAGATATACCTCAAAAGGTTTTAATAATTTTCGATATCTTTGCTTCCTAAAAAGAGTGGACAGCTGGCTTTGAGGGGTACAGCCTGAGTAGTCGAAGAAATATAGCCCTCCGGAATGATTCTGAATCCTCGGGTGTGCTCTACTCCAGCGCTCCAACTTATTTCTGTGGGCAGACATTGACATTCAGGCAAGTAGATCTTACAGTATGTTTGTCATGGCTTAGGCAGTAAAGTGACGTGCATAGAACACATGTGAGCTTTGGATTCAAAGTAGACTTGAGTTTATTTCATCATTTATAGGCAGTGTTACTTTGGGGAGAGTTCCTCATTTCTCTTTGCTTTGGTTTTCTCAGATGTGTTCATAGAGCTATTATGAAAATGAACTGAGATAAAGTATATAAGATGTCTTGCTTATGCCTGATACATAGCACGTACTTATTATGTTTGTGTCTCTTTTCTTCTTGGGAGATAGAGGTAAGTAGACTACCTCTCAGAAGTCAGTCATAAAAAATCAGAGGCCAAGAATTTTTTTCCTTTGTGAATCAATGTGAGCAGGTGTCTGTGAGAGACAACCTGTCAGTGTAAACGTACTGAGAATTACATACATAATGTATATAATTCTCTATAAAATATATGTGTACATACATATATATATGTATGTAATTCTCTGTAAAATAAAACTGAAGGGCGCCTGGGTGGCTCAGTTGGTTAAGCAACTGCCTTCGGCTCAGGTCATGATCCTGGAGTCCCGGGATCGAGTCCCGCATCGGGCTCCCTGCTCGGCGGGGAGTTTGCTTCTCCCTCTGACCCTCCTCCCTCTCATGTTCTCTGTCTCTCATTCTCTCTGTCTCAAATAAATAAATAAAATCTTTAAAAAAAAAATAAAAAAATAAAAAAAAATAAAACTGAAAGCAAGCACTCCTACCACCAATCAGTTTTCTATTTCTTTATCCATTTCTTCTTGTATTAGAATAATTTCCTTGTTTTCATGTTCTGAGATGGTCCTATTTCTGAATAGCTCTTCCTAGAAAGCAAAGCCCAGTTTTGTTTTTTCTGTTTTGTGTTGTTTTAAATATTTTATTTATTTGAGAGAGAGAGGAAGAGCACAGAGGGAGAATGAAAGGGAGAAACAGACTCCCCACTGAGCAGGGAGCCTGATGTGGGACTCGATCCCAGGACCCTGAGATCATGACCTGAGCTGAAGGCAGATGCTCACCCTACTGAGTACTCAGGCACCCACAAAGCCCAGTTTTGATGTGGAAAATCAGGGAAGCAAACTGTCCTCTAATTTTTAGGTCTTGAGATCATGAGGTTTTATGGTGAACGCTTGCTCCAAGTTCCTGTTGTTGTTCTCATCTCAGTCCCTTGTCATATGAAGCATGGAGAGTAACTGAAAGCTTTATGTAAGCTAATGTGGCCGTGTTCTCCACCAGCCAAGTCATTTGAACTGTCAACAGTTCTCAGAATGCACTAGTTTACACTTTGTCTCATTTTGACATCTCCTCTCACCCCTTATATTATGAAGAATGACTCAATGACCAGAAAAATACCAACAAAGAGAGGGAGAAATAAAGAGTCTAGTACCTGAAGTCCACTTAGTTATTCCCCAAAGGGGAATTCTTGAGTTTTGTATGCTGACAAACGCTTTTTCTGCTTATGTCCTTTGTTTATATACTGCCATTAGTGAGTCCCCTGAGAACAGTGTGCTCCCATGTGATGATAGGGCTTCCTGAGTTGATACATTCAGGTCAGATATCTCAGACAATAAGAATAGCAATCATAGTAATAATAATTGCAGTTAATAATTAAATAGCATTTATTACGCATGAGGTACTGTTTTAAGCACTTTACTTATATCAACTCATTTGATTCTTACAGTAGCCCAATGAAATAACCCATTTTAGGGATGAGGATACTGAGGCGCACAGAAGTTAAGTCACTTACCCAAAGTCACATAACTGGTAAATGGCAAAGCTACTCTATATCTTTTCATTTTGTCTTCTTCATGGGAGAGTAAATGTGATTCTGGTTGGTATTGGAATCTACAGTTTCTCTACGTCAGTATCCTTTAGCTCTTTTCCTTTTCCCTCCTCTATGACCTTCCCCCCAGCTGGTGATGGCCTGATGCTCTCCTGCTTTTAAATCCTTCCTCTGTGAACATGGGAAGGTCTGATGGATGGCATACTTAGGTTTGTTTTTTCCTATTATTCAATAAATATTTAAGACATTGGAAATTACCCAAATTGATGTAAATCCACTTCCTATCCGTGGACCATGGTGTGACATTTAGTAGGCCTCAATAAACCTTTAGTTCTTCCTCTTCTCCCAGAGATGTCTGGCCGGGCCCCACTTGGGGTGATTAACAGAAACTTCGTTTGACTCACTATTATTGTAGCCAGACCTTTGCATTTTTTGTCATTTTTCTTTTGAACGTGGAATGAAAACGTCTTCTCTCCCTGTTGGAAGGATTTGCAGGCATCAGCAATGAATTCAGAAGATTGGGGGGTGGAGGGCGGCCTGTATGGGGGAGGGGGCAGATGGGTCTACTTGAGTAAATGTAAACTTTATTCAGTTTTTTGGCGTGTCTGAAGGCCTCACAGTTAGAAAGAAGATTATGCTTCTGAAGGCAGTGCCCTGTTGCTCAGCCCAGTCTATTCCTGCTGAAGTTGCTGGAATGCTGAAGTTGCTGGAATGGGTAGAGCTGTGGAAACCAAGTAACCTGTTACTGGCAGGCTCTATCAGTCTCTAGAGCCCACTCTCATTTGGTAGCCAGGTCTGCTAAGCAACCCCCTCCTGCTAGGCCTCTCCTTGATTTTCTGTCTGAACATTCCTACTTTCCCTTTCCTTGCTTCCAAGATTTGCTGATCTTACCATTTTTTTTTTAAACCAAACTTTTACTTTCTCTTCTCTACCACCTCCTTTCTTTAAAACAGCATCCTTTCAAACAGCCTGCTTTAATCCTCATAGCCTAGGAGGTTATTGTCTTCCTTTTACATAGGAAGAAAAAGAAGCACAGGGACCATGGGACTTGCCAGTATTTGAATCCTGCCAGTCTAGCCCTGAAAGTCTGTGCTCTTAACCCTGTGCTGCCTGCCTCCCACAGGTCACCTGAGGTGGTAAATCAAAGGCCAATAGGCTATTTTTTATTAATAAACTTTTTCTTTAAAAGAACATAAAAAATTAATGTTACAGTTAAACATTTTTTTTTTTTAAGATTTTATTTATTTATTTGACAGAGACACAGCGAGAGAGGGAACACAAGGAGCGGGGAGTGGGAGAGGGAGAAGCGGGCTCCCTGCCGAGCAGGGCGCCCGATGTGGGGCTCTATCCCAGGGCCCTGGGATCATGACCTGAGCTGAAGGCAGTCGCTTAACCAACTGAGCCACCCAGGCGCCACACAGTTAAACAGTTATTGATTGCTGTGTAACAAACCACCCCAAAACTCAGATGCTTAAAACAATAGTCATTTATTTTGCTCAAGAAACTGCAGTTTGGGGCGCCTGGGTGGCTCAGTAGTTAAGTGTCTGCCTTCGGCTCGGGTCATGACCCCAGGGTCCTGGGATTGAGCCCCACATCGGGCTCCCTGCTCGGCGGGAAGCCTGCTTCTCCCTCTCCCTCTCCCCCTGCTTGTGTTCCCACTCTCCCTGTCTCTCTCTGTCAAATAAATAAACAAAATCTTTAAGAAAAAAAAAAAAGGAAACTGTAGTTTGCAGAGCTTGGCAAGGACAGCTCATCTCTTCTTCTGTGTCAGTAGCTGGAGTGGATCTACTTTCAAAATGGCCCACTCACATGGCTGGCAAATGGATTCTGGTTCTGGTTGTCTCTCGGTGTAGGCATCTCTGTGGGCTGCTTGGGCTTCCTCACAGCATGGTGGCTGGGTGCCAAGATTGAGCATCCGAAGAGATAGGAAGTGGAAGCTGCAGAAGCCGCCAGTTTTTTAAGGCCTGGGCCTAGAAAATGACATAATATCACTTCTACCACATTTTACCCTTCATTCAGAGCCTAGATCCCAGAGAAGGGACATAGGCCCCACTTTTTGATGGCAGAAGTGTCAAAGAATTGGGGGGCTTTATTTTAGAAATGCTATGATTGATAGCTGTTAGAAAGGGGTCACTTGGTTTAATGCTCACCTTTGTTTGGTTAAGTGTTAGCATGACCTTTTCTGAATACGTTTAAGCTTGAGGAGATCTTTCTTTTTCTGTATAAGACTGGTCTCTGTCATCACCAGGTATATCTTCAATTCTGTTAGCTCCTTATATTAAAAAAAAAAATCTTACTAATTAATCATTCCTGGGAAGATTAGGAATAGGGCATAGTCCCTACTAGGATTAAGAAGTTAATTTGTTTTGGGGTACCTGTCTGGCTCATTCAAAGGAGCATGCAACTCTTGACCCAGGATCATGAGTTCGAGCCCCACATTGGGTATAGAGATTACATCAATAAATAAACTTAAAAAAAAAAAAGTTAACTTAGGGTCTTTGAAATCTTGTTGGTTTCTCCTTATATTAAGACAGAATGCATTGTCCTGGGGAGAATCCAGCTTTGCTGGGTTTTACTTTTTGCCAAAGTTGTCCCCTCTAGAAATAGGGTATTAGTCCTTTAGGTTAGAGTTTGGCTCTTATGACAGACATGGGAATGCCAGACAGCAGAATTTTCCCCACAGACTCTTGATTATATAGACTTGGGTGAGGTAAGACAGCTGGTTTCCTAAGTAGATCTCCTTTCAGATTCTATACCCTAGCTTTTAGTTTGTCTGTGGATGGGGGGTTCCATGGTATCATGAAGGTGTATCTGCTTTAAAGTGGTCACATATAACAGTTCTTCCAAATAATCTAAGGAATGTTTCTTAGGCCTTTTTCCCATCCATACTTTATCTGTTTTAAACTACTTATTTTTAAATGTAAGGACAGATCTGATCAACTCCAGTCTCATTACGCTAATCATTTCATTCAACCTTTACTCCGTTCAGATGGTATCTATAGTATTTGGTATTGCCAGGAATGTGAAGTTTAAGAAAAAGAAAAAAAAACAAAAACAGAATCTTTGACTCAATATAGAGTAGGACATTTATAAATTAGTATAAGAAAGATCCAGGGGCAGTGCCTGGGTGGCTCAGTGGATTAACTGCTGATTTCAGCTCAGGTCATGATCTCAGGGTCATGAGATTGAGCCCCGAGTCAGGCTCGGA